TTTGGCGTTGAGTTATCTGAGAAGTAATGGCTGATTATCGCGCGAGGCCGTGAAAGTCACGAAAATCTATCACGTTGAGGTCGCCTTACATTTACACGATAGCCAGCTGTTTGTGGCGGTGTTGCTTACACAAGGTGTATGAGCCTTGACGCGGAATGCTTGCTTACGGTATTAAGGTTTATCGGTAAGTTCCCCTCTTCTTGCTTATCGTACTTTGTTCCATAGGTCGTTGTGGCTGTACGGTAGCAAAGCATCAGTGCAAATGATTGATGATGGTGATTCCATGAACTCATGAGCTTGGAATTATACCCCTGGAACAGAGCAGGTTGAGCGGAGACCTGGGAAAAAGGTTCAGAATTATGACTGGCCTGTGGCCGAGTGGCGTGCATGCCTGGCTTGCAATCATAAGGGTACCGGTTCGAATCAGCGCAGGGGTGGGCGTCCTCGCGGTATATTCAGCCCGCGCGACTGGTGGTGTTCGCGTGGCGACGAAACGACGTTACAGCGCACAGCTGGCGAGTTAGTTATTATTAAGCCTATTGATCTAATTGAAATAGCTACAACCGGTTGGCTGCAGGGGGGCCTAAACATAAACGCAAGCATCAGTAGTTCAGGCTATAAATTAGGGGGAACTTGTTCGAAATTCGTGTAGTTAGTAGTCGGAACAAGCTGCCTTACGCCTTAATGGGAATATAACGCGTCGGTAGACCGCCACATATATATATATATATATATATATATATATATATGTATATATATATATATATATACCCGCGGGAGAGCCTATGGTTCGCTGAGGCTGGTGGTGGCTAGATCCTGACAGATGGTCTACCCACTGCTGCTACTGTTGTGCAATTGGCTCATGTCCTGGGCGCCTAATCGTGCCGACCGCTGGGTGGGAGTTGGGTTTCGCCCTTCTCCCTGCTAAGATCCAGGACACCAATCCGCATGAGTCAGTGAACTGACCATGTGCTAGACCCGCTGCCTTTCGGGTGTTCATTTAATCAAAGGCTTTGGCTGAGGACCCGAGTCGTTCTGCTGTCAGGTGTGGGCGCCCTGCCAGTATCCTAGTCCATTCTCTTCGGAGGTTAGGAAGTGGTCGATGGCCCACTTCCCGTAAAACTTAGCCATGGGAGACAACAGGTCTAGGGGTTATAAGCTCACAGCTAGATTGGCGTAGAGCACGAGCGCCACGCATTGTCTCTGACGGTTGGAGGACACCTCCGGGTGTTCAATGGTTTGCTACTGCCCGCCTCAAGCCAGGCAGCCCCTGGTCAAATTGGTGCAAACCAGCCAAAACCCACCTGCGTCTGGCCGTGGTCGCAGGTGTATCCTACTACGGTCGCAAAACATATATAAATCGTTCCAGTACCTCAAAGGATGCGTGTGACGGCTGTCAAGCAAATCCCAATCTGCTCTGCAATCACATTCCCGAGCTGGATCTGCTCCCCACTACCTTGTGGGTAAGGCTATTGAGCCAAAGGTTCCGGGGTGGAGTCTCTCAAGTAAACCTCCAAACCACGCACTACCTTGTGGGTCAGGCTATTGAGCCAAAGGTTCCGGGTGGGGGCCAACAAGCAAACCTCCGAAGCACAACGACCACCTCGCGTGCGATTGCCCACCAATGCAATCGTATGCCTGCGCGCAAAGCACTCAGCATCGGGTGCTGGAACGTGCGCACACTACTGGACCGGAACTCCAGCGAGCGCCCGGAGTGACGCACTGCACTCGTCCCGATGGAACTGGCGCGCTACCACATCGATATTGCAGCGCTCAGTGAAACCCGGCTCGTTGAGCAAGGTAAGTTGCATGAAGCAGGTGCTGGTTATACATTCCACTGGGTGGGCAACGCCGCCTCAGCACCACGTGAACATGGGGTCGGATTTGCAATATCCGATTACCTCTATGGCCAGCTGGTGGGCGAACCAACAGGCATCTGTGTGCGACTGATGACTGTTCGCCTACGACTCGGAAGAGGTAAGTTTGCCACCTTCGTAAGCGCGTGTCATCCTGATGACACGCGTGATCAATTCTACACTCAGCTATCCGCCGGGATACGGTCGGTGCCGAGGAGCGACCGACTATTTCTGCTGGGTGGTTTCAACGCGCGCGTTAGGCGTGATGCATTGGTGTGGACAGATGTTATCGGTTCGCATGGCATTGGTTCAGCGAATGCGAACGGTGACAGGCTGCTTTCACTGTGTGCCACTCACGGTCTGACGATCACGAACACTCGGTTTGCACTGACTTCGAGTGATATAGCAACTTGGACGCACCCACGGATTGGTCACGCTCACCTGCTCGACTATATCATCGTACGTCAGCGTGATATGCGTGAAGTGCGCATGACACGTGTACTGCGTGGAGCTGAGTGTGGCACTGATCACAAATTGGTGAGGACCAAACTGTACATTTATTTTCGCAAATCTATGTATTGCACTCCCGCCGTGAATCGGCGTAAATTTAGTACTCTCCTTGGGTACTGTGGCGAAAGGTATTGAACTGGAGCAGGCGATGGTTGCACGCCTGTGTGATGTGGACTGCATAGCCACAGTGAGCGACCTGTGGCACCACATTCGCGACCAGGTGACAGCTGCTGCCGAGACCATTAAGCGCGCAAACACTAAGCGGCCTGATTGGTTTGATGAGAACAATGCGACGATTGGCGCATTGGTGCCGGTGCACATGTCGCAGACCCCAGTGACTTGGGGAAGAGTAGTCAATTTCGCAAACTTTGACGGCGACTGACCGGAGAGCTCCGTCGCATAAAAAATGCATGGTGGACGTAGAAGGCGAAGCAGATGGAATGCTACGACGAACGCCGCCAACACAAGGAATTCTTTGACTCCTTGAAGGCGGTGTATGGACCGAGATTGGAGCCGCTGAGGACACTGATCGACGGTAGTTCAGGCGTTACCTGCACACAGACTGCAGACATAATGCAGATCTGGCGGAAACACTTCGACTGTTTCTTGAACGACCGTTTAGAGATTGGCCTACATTGAACGGCCTCAAGCAGCCCGATGTTAAGGCGAGTCTGGCGGAAACGCCGAGACCGGAAGAGAAACAGAGATCACTTGCTCAGCTGCGAAACGGCAAATATGCCAGTGCCGACGGGATCCCGCCTGAAGTATTGAAACACGGCGGATCCGCGTTATTGGCTACGCTGCACTACTTGGTGCAACGTGTATGGATTGAGGAGGAGTATCATCCTGGGCTGAAAGATGCCCTTGTGCTACCACTGTACAAGGAAGCAAGCAATGTTGCACGAAATATCGTGGCACCAACTTGCTGAGTTATGTGGGCAAGGTGATTGCCCGAATCCTGCTCAACCGCCTCGTT